CTGGTTGGTCTCACACCCCCACCTGCCCCCCCCAGCTCAGCCACTGGGCCCCCCAATGCCCGGCACTCACAGGGGGCTGGTGAGGGCCCCACTGGGCTTCTGGGCCAGGACCAGGTGCAGGAAGACCCCGGGCTTGAGGCCCAGGCGCCCCCCATCACCCCCCAGCTCCAGGATACAGTGGGCCCGGGCAGGGGTGTCCAACTGCTGCCCCCACAACAGCAGCTGCTTGTACAGGTACCTGGGGGGGAGGCAGAGGGGAGGTCACTGCAGGGGATTAGGGGTACCATTTCCCCCCACTAGGGCCACAGCAGTCAGTGAGTGGGAGGGGACCTACCCCAGCTCTGGGATGGGAAGTGGAGCCTGGACACCTGGGGTCCCCCCCAGCTCTGGGAAAGCAGTGGGCGCTGGTGAATTAGAGCAGGTGAGAGTGGGGGGCAAGCCCGGATGCCTGGGTTTCATCCCATCTTAAGGAAGGGGGTGAGTGGGAGCCCGGACTCCGGGGTCCTTTGCCCGCCTGTAGAGGGGACACAGGGAATCTACTGGTGAGAGCCAGGAGCCTGGACACCTGGTACCACCCCCAAGTCCAGGAGGGTTAAGGGGTCGTGGGGGGGCAGTTAGAGCAGGGAGGGCGACTAGTGTTCTCCCTCAGCTCTGGGAGGTGACAGAGCTGATGGGTTTGAGCTGTAAGGTTGTTGGGGCAGGAAGCTGGGGTGCCTGGGTTCTCCGCCAGCTCTGGGAGGGCAGTGGGGACTGGGGTTAGGGCAGGGGGGCTAGGAGCCAACGGGAGCACGGACTCCTGGGTTCCCCCCCAGCTCTGGGAGGGCTCTGGAGGTCAGGGGTGATGGGTGACAGGGAGCTGGGACTCCTGGGTTTCTCCCTGGACAAGGGGAAGGCACAGAGCATCCCTGGTTATTATGGGCCATCTCTGACCCCACACCCCCTCACCTCTGCAGTGCCCGTCGAGCAAGGACCAGCCCCTGAGTGTCATGGAGCCGCCGACCCCCGAACTCTAGGAAGGCCCCAGCCCCGGCCCCAGCCTTGCCTGTGCCCAGCGCCACCAGCTCGTAGCTCTCCTGGCAGCTTGCACTGGCAGGCGGCACCTCTGCAGGGAGCAAAGGGTTACACCAGGCCCAGACCAGCTCCCTCCCCCTGGACAACGGGTTCTATCCCCAGCTGTGGACTGGTGACGAAGGGGTTAAACATGTTGGGGGGAGTTGGGAGCCAGGACACCTGGGTTCCCCCCCAGGCCAGTAAAGGACAGGCCCAGGGGTTAGAGCAGGACACCTGGGCTCGCTGGCAGCAGATGGGACTGACCCCCAACGCCCTCCCGGTGCTGGACAGAACCCAGGCGTCCTGCCCACCTTGCCGGGCTCATCCTCAGGCCCTGGCACCCCTGGCTGGGGGCAGCCTGGATCCCCCCGGGGAAGGAAGCCTGGACCCTTGTACCGCTGCAGACCCCGGAAGCCTCCCCCAGCACCCCCTGACCCTACGCACACGCCAGGACCCCCTCACCTCTCTCCAGCAGGAAGGCGGCCAGGCTGCTCTTGCAGCCCTGCAGCGCGGAGTCGCCGGCCAGGAGCTGCTGGAAGAAGTCGCTGGCGATGGCGACGCAGCGCTGCTCATGGGGGATCAGCTCTGGTGGCAGAGACCCCCCTTGAGCCCCCAGCCGGGATCTCCCTCCCCAGAAGGCCTGGGCTGGGGGCAGGCACCACAGTCCCTCCCACCCCCAATGGGCCAGACCAACCCCTGTGATGAGCTTGCTGGGGCTCAGCCCA